TTGTTTTAAATTGGTAAGTCTTGAGTTACAGCCATGGGAAGGGGGAGGCCAAGACTGGGACTTCATTTCAGTCCCTGAGGTGACAGGGACATGGAGAGTCTGTATAAATCAAGGCTTGTCACATGAGATTGGGTAACATTAGAACAAAGCATTTGAGGGGAAGAAGCTTAGATTTGGGAAGCAGAGTTCAGACACAGCAGGTTATCAGTAGACCTAGAAAAGTTAAAATAGTCTTAACTGAGGGAATAATTTGATGGAACAAACTGATGGGAATCAGCAGCCATTTAGATTTTAGAAAACAAGGAAGGAGGGAGCCAGGCCCAAGAAATAGATTGGTGGGATTAAAACCTATAAATGAAGGGCGCCAGGGTGGCTCAGTCGGGTAAGCACCAACTCTTGATTTTGGCTCAGGTCCTGATCTCAGGGTCATGGGATCAAGCCCCCTGTCGACTCAGCGGGGAGTCTGCTTGAGATTCTCTCTCCCTCTGCCCCTCCCTGCACTCGCTTACCTGCTCTCTCAAATAAGTAATCCTTAAAAAAAAAAAAAAAAAGCCTATACATGAGAAAACTGGGTATCTAGATAGCCCAAACTTAGAGTGCATGCAGTCCTGATCTTCTGACCCAAGCATAGAGATGGGAATCATCAGGGAAATGGAAAAAAGTTCCCAGAATAAACTTTCATTCTTCTGCAACATTTTCCAGTGTAGAACCAGATCAAATTTTGAGAATATAGGGAGAATTACATTCCCAATTTTTGGTGAGGAGTTGATATAGCTAATTAAAAAGAGGATTGGAATGAAGCCTGGCACTTCCTAATGGCAATGTTACAGCAGAATTAAGTTATCAGCTGGGTAAGACAGGCTTATTACTGTGTATCAGGCATTCTGTCATATCCTGTAGATCTAAAGATTAAATATTCTCTTGATATAAATTTGATTACTTATAGAAGATTTTTAAAACTTTGAATGGTCTGGCAGCATACTTAGCACTATTTTCTTTTTCTAAAATACTGAATGTTATAGTGATGTCCTACAGGTCTCAAGAAATGGTCTTTGAGGGAGGTCCTAGAGGACTGAGTTTGATGTTGAGGATTGACAACAGGAGAATGTACAGAACACTTAAATTTGGAGCTAGAAATTGAATAGAAGGGGAAAAAAAAAGAAAAGGGGCGCCTAGGTTAAGTCTGACTCTGATTTTGGCTGGAGTCATGATTTCAGGGTTTTGAGGGGTGTGGGGCCTGCTTGGGATTCTCCCTCTCTCCCCCCCCAATAGAAAGAGAGAGAGAGGGAAAGAAAATAGAAGGAAAAGTGGAGGATGACAGGCTGTCTCTGCAGTCATGTGCTCAGTTCACATTAGTTCATTAAATGTATAAACTTATACTCCACCTACTTCAAAAAGAACTTTGAAACAGCTTATCAAAATTAGACACTGGTGAAAATATATTTTATATTTGGATACAATAAAACTAATGGCTAAATATAGCAGAGAAGTAGATGTCAATAGACATTTGAGATTTAATGTTCAGACAAACTTGAGCAAGCTCACTTAGAAGCCAAGGCACAAGATGGGAGAAACCTGTTAAACCATCTTTTTTTGATTAAAAAAGTAAGCACATGGAAACTAGCTGAATCATTCTCCTGTTTCTGCATTCAAGGAGAATATACTTTGGGAATTCTTATATAAGGGATTTTTTTTGGTTAAAGATAATTATTTCTTTAACAGATGGGTAAAACACAACATTCTAGAGCAAGTCTTTCATCAGTCTTCGTAAGCTAAAGACTTAGTATTAAATTTTAGTTAAGGCATTCATTGAGGAGTTATCTGTGCCTGTTTTCTGATAATCAGATTTAATAAAGAAATGAGATTTGTTGGAAGCCTATGTATTAAGTGAGCCTTGGAAAAGTACTTAATTACTCGGTATTTCTCTGAGTACTACCTTAAATTTCTGCAGTATGTGCATTTAAAAAGGCAGGGGATCTCAGGTGAAAGCTGACTTTTCAGACTGTTGAAAATGTTTTATAAATCTAAATTATATTTCCCCTACCTCATCCCCTACCCTCCATCACACACACACACACACACACACACACACACACACACACACACACACACACACACA